CTCCTCCCTCCTCTCTTCAGTCTCTGGTAACCATTGTTTTCCTCTCTGCCTCTAGTATATCAACGTATTACTTTTTAGATTCCACATGTGAGTGATATCATATGATATGTACTAGAAGTTCATTCATGTTATTGCAAATGATGAGTTTTTATTATTTGACAGCTGAATAATATTCCATTGTGTATATATACCACATTTTCTGTAACCATTAATCTGTTGTTGGACACAGGTAGATTCCATGTCTTGCTTATTGTAAATACCACTGCAATAAACATGGGAGTGCAGTTATCTCTTCTATATACTGATTTCATTTCTTTTAAATACATACCAATTAGTGGGATGGCTGATACAGTAGTTCTTTAATTTCTAAAAGAACCTCAATACTGGTTTCCATAATGGTTTTACTAGCTTACAATTCCACTAGCAGTGTGTAAGGGTTCCTTTTTCTCTGCGTCTTCACCAACATTGTTTCCTTTTGTCTTTTTGAAAATAGCCATTGTAATTGCGGTGAGGTTGTATCTCCTTATGGTTTTGATTTAGATCTTTCTGATAATTAGCAATGTTGAACATTTTTTCATATATCTGTTGGCCATTTATATGTCATCTCCAAAATATGTAATAATGTATTCCATCTATTTCTAAAATCAGGTTATTTTGTTGTCATTGTTGTTAAGTTCTTTATATATTCTGGATATTAATCCCTTAGATATATAGTTGGCAAAGATGTAAGTTGTCTCTTCACTTGATTAATGGATTCATTTTCTATGAAAAATCTTTTCAGTTTGAGGTAATTCAATTTGTCTATTTTTTCTTTTTTGCCTGTAAGCACAAAAAATAAGATAGCCAGAAACAACCTTAACTAAGGAGGTGAATGGTATGTACACTGAAAATTATAAAACTTTGATGCAAGAAATTGAAGAGGACACAAATAAGTGGAAAGGTACTTCATATTCATGGATTCAAAGAACTAATATTATTAAAACAGCCATAGTACACAAAGAGATCTACAGATTTAATGCAATCTCCATCAAAATACCAATGATATTCTTCACAGAAATAGAAATAAAAACAATTTTAATTCATAGAGCACCCCTAAAAACTTCAAATACCAAAGCAATACTGAGCGAAAAGAACAAAGCTGGAGGCATCGCACTACCTGATTTCAAAATATTGTACAAAGTTCTTGTAATCAAAACAGTTTGGAACTGGCATAAAAACAGACCAACGTAACAGAATACGGAGCCCAGGAATATGTATTATTTAAACATTCTTGGCTGGGCATGGTGGCTCACATCTGTAATCCCAGAACTTTCGGGAGGCCACGGCAGGTGGATCACTTCAACACAGGAGTTAGAGACCAGCCTGAGCAACATGACGAAACCTTGTCTCTAATAAAAATACAAAAAATTAATCAGGGGTGGTGGCATGTAACTGTAGTCTCAGATACTTGGGAGGCTGAGGCAGGAGGATCTTCTGAACCTGAGAAGTCGAGGCTGCAGCAAGCCATGATTGTTCCACTATACTCCAGCTTAAGCAACAGAAGTGAGATCCTGTCTCAAAAATAAATAAATAAAATAAATATTGTTGACCAACCCAATATCATGAAGTGTTTCACCTAGTTTTCTTCTGGTAGTTTCATATTTTCAAGTTTCTCATTTAAGTCTTTAATTCATTTTGGGTTGATTTTTGTATGCGGTGAGAGATAGAGGTCTGGTGTCATGCTTCTGTGTATGGATATCCAATTTTACCAGTAACATTTATTGAAGAGACTGCCTTTTCCCTAATGTGTGCTCTTGGCACCTTTGTGAAAAATGAGTTGGCTATAGGTGCACACATTTGTTTCCGAGGTCTCCATTCTGTTCCATTGGCCTATTTTTCTGTTCTTATTCCAGTGCCCTACTGTTTTGGTTACTATAGCTTTCACATATAGTTTGAAGTCAAGTAGTGTGATGCCTCCAGCTTTATTCTTTTTTCTCAGTATTTCTTGGATATTTGGAGTTTAATGGTTCCATATGAATTTTAGGATTGCTTTTTTCTATTTCTGTGAAGAATGTCATTGGTATTTTGATGGAGATTACATTAAATCTGTAGATTTATTTGGCTAGTATGGGCATATTAACAATGTTAATTCTTTCAATCCATCAGTTTGGGATATCTTTCCATTTATTTGTGTCCTCTTCAGTTTCTTTCATCAAAGTTTTATAGTTTTCACCTCCTTTGTTGAGTTTATTCCTAGCTATCTTATTTATAGGTATTATAAATGTAATTATCTTTTTTATTCCTTTTTCAAATAGCTCACTATTAGCGTATAGAAACACTATTAATGTTTTTAAAATTCTTTTTAATTAAAAAAAATTCTGTAGGGATGGGGTATTGCTATGCTGCCCAAGCTGGTCTCAAATTCCTGGCCTCAAGTGATCCTCCCACCTTGGCCTCACAGAGTGCTGGGATTACAGGAATAAGCCGCTGCACCTGGCTAATAATTTTTAAATGCTGATTTTGTATACTATAACTTTACTAAATTCGTTTATTAGTTTTAACAGTTTTTGGTGGATTCTTTAGAGTTTTCTGCATTTAGGGTAATGTAATCTGCAAACAGGGACAATTTGACTTCCTCATTTTCAATTTGGATGCCTTTATTTCTTTCTCTTGCCTGACTGCTCTGGCTAGAGCTTCCATTAACATGTTTAATAAAAGTGGTAAAAGTGGGCATTGTTTGGTTTCTCATCCTAGAGAAAAAGCTTTCAGCTTTTTCCTGTTCAGTGTAATGTTAGTTGTGGGTTTGTCACATACGGCATTTATTATGGTGAGTTACATACCATCTATACCTAATTTGTTAAGAGTTTTTATCATGAAGAGACGTTGAATTTTGTCAAATGCTTTTTTTTTCATGTATTGAATTGATCATATGGTTTTGGTTTTTCTGTTAATGTGGTATATCATATTTATTGATTTGTATGTATTCAAACATCCCTGCATCTCTGGAATGAATCCCATTTGATCATAGTAAACGATCTTTTTAATGTACTGTTATATTCAATTTGCTAGGTCTTATCCAGAATTTTTGCATCTATGTTCACCAGGGATATTGGCCTGTAGGTTTTCTTTTTCATTGTGTCCTCGTCCAGTTTTGAAATAAAGTTAATTCTGGCCTCATAAAATAAGTTTGGAAATATTCCCTCCTCTTAAATAATCTGGAATAGTTTGAGAAGAATGGGGATTAGTTCTCTTTTAAATGTTTGATAGAATTCAGTTGTGAAGCTATTAAGTCCTGGACTTTTCTTTGATGGAGGGCTTTTTATTAATGATTCAGTTTCCTTAAGCATTATTGCTTTGTTCAGATTTTCTACTTCTTCATAATTTAATCTTGGTAGTCTGTATGTGTCCAGGAATTTGTTCGTTTCTTCTATGTTATCAAATTTGTTGGTATATAGTATTATTTAAGTCTCTTATGATCCTCTGTATTTCTGTGCCATCAGTTGTAACGTCTCCTTTTTATCTCTGATTTTATTTGAGTTTCTCTCTTTTTTTTCAGTCTAGGTAAATGTTTGTCAATTTGCTTTATCTTTTCAAAAAAAAAAAACAAGCTAGTGATATCTGAGGCTCAGTCCGTCACACCATGGGGAATTAGACTATTTGTCGACTGATAGTCAATATTCTCAACATTCTCACTTCAAATCCAGTATATGGAACAATTTTGGTTCATATTTCTTTATAATGTTTGGCAGCATAAGTTGGCATTTTGTCTGTACCTACCAGGAAACCAATAATGGGACCAGCAAAGGTCTGAGAATCTGGAGCGGCGTTCTGGTGGGTATCCTCTGGCCCAGAAGGTAATGGAATTCCTGGACCAAGGGATCTCAAAATCTCGCTTCCTCATCCCCAGGTGCACAGGCTCAAACTCAATATCCCATCCCAGCTCGCAGGGCCCAGACAGCAGCCTCATGCTCAATCGCCTATGGCGGGTCTTGCTCAGCCCGCGGCTTCGGCCCCTCAGATGCAGCAGCATCCACGAGCCATCCAAGGCCTCATCTGCAGCCTCGCATGAACTGTGCAGTCCAAGTCCACCGAGGGTCTCGTTTCTTGAAACCTTCTGCAATGAATCTCAGCACTTCATCTTGCTAGTCTCATGGTAAATAGGAACGGGGCCCCAGAGGAAGCTCATACTCTGGGTGGTTGCCTGTGGGGCCACCCCCGTCCCTGTAGTCCAAGGTATTTTTTGCTTTACCAAACTTCTTAGGGTCTGTATGAAGGTTCGCTGTTAGATCCAAGGAGCGGGGGGTGCACTCCCCAGGACGCAGTCCCATCCGGGCTTCAGTGCGTCCCATGAGTGATCATGTCCTCAATACTGGGTCACTGTGTTTGGTCATTTCTATTTTTGAAGATGTAGCATTTCTCCCAGTAATCACCAAGAGGATTTTGTGACCTTATGGCTTGGGTGTTGTCTTTGGTCGTTCCCTGAAGTAATTTTGCCTAAAGCTCCAGTTTTGGACTTCGGGGACTGATGTAGAAATATATTCAGGTGGTCTGTCTTTGTCTATATTTCCTTTTGCAGCTGATATCCCTAATATTCCTTCTCTAGACAAGCTATTTGCCAGTTCAATGATTTCTGGATAATACATCAGTGATTGTCACGGATGATAGTCCTCTTCAGCATTTCTTGAGCGGCTTTGATGGGAGCACCATTTTGTGTAGTCCTTTAAGCATCAATATACTATTGAACCAAACTATTGCTCTTTCCTGAAGCAAGGGCCACATTCTCCCAGGGCTGTGCAAGCAAACCCGGGGTTCTGTGAGGCAGCGCGAATTGGGGGAATGGGCGGCCAGGTTATGGTCGAGGGGGCCTAGTTGTTCTGTTCCAATCAAGTGTGGTACCTATTTGGCCAAATCAGTGCCGGGGATCCAGTCAGGTGGTATGGTCCTAGTCAGTGGGAAGTGGCCACACTGGCGGGGCGGGTGGCAGTGGCCAGTGCGGGGTGGTAGCGGGGTTGCCGACCAGTTCAGCGAGGAGCCCTTGGCCCAGTCTGGAGGAAACCCGTCTGCCCAGCCCTGGGGGGTCTGGCCATCCCAAGTGGGTCCTGGCCATCCCAGGTTGATCCGCCAGGCCCAAGTGGATTGCGGGCCCCAGACGCAACGGGCCAGGCAGCACAAGGGTTTGGCCAGATCACTGGGTACTGCCAGATCTGGTTGGCCCCAGATCACTGGTTTCTGCCAAGCAAACTGGGTTTGCCAGCGCTGGTGGGCGCTGCCTAGCTGGAGGGCTCTGCGACGTGCTGGTGCGGTGTCGCCTGGCTGTCTGGTTTTGCCAGCCTGAGGGCGTTCTGCCAAGCCAACGGATGCTGCCAGAGGGCAACGTTGGGGTGCGGCCAGGTGGGTTCTGAGGGTCACTGGAACTGGTGCAGACCTCCGCGGGTCCCTGCAGCCAGTGGGGCGCCGCCTCCTGATCCCCCACTGGCTGTTCTCCTTCCAACATTCCAAGTTATTAAATCCTTGGCGGGTTCTCTGCCGCAAATTATCTGTG